TGTATTTTTTAGAGTGTTTGCTCATCTGCAATACATCTATAGGACTATTAGAAGTCAAATAGATGTTTAGAAGATGTCTTTAAGAAGCGTATTATTTAAAATGTATGTAAAACTGACGTCTGAAAGAATCAGATGTTTGTACGATGCTTTCCAGATGAAGCGATCTTTAATAGACATCTTGCAGACGTGCGTGTGCTATTTGGGATTACAGTAGATAACATCAGTAAATTCAAGCATCTTCAAGCTATGATTAGTGGAGTAGCACGATCGCTGTTTAAAGGGATCATATGATGCGATTTAAATTTTTCCTTTCTCTTTGGAGTGTTACAAGCTCTTGGTGCATAAAGAAGATCTGTAAAGTTGCAAAGACTAAAGTCTCAAATCCAAAGAGATATTCGTTATAAAAGTTAAGAGTCAACCACGCCTACCAAAAACGGCTCATTCTAACACGCCCGACGCGTTTCAGAAAGGCGGGGCATAGAGGAGAAACAATAATGTACAGTATGTGGAAAATAATGTGTTTTTTTAACCTTAAACCGCATAAACACATTTCATTACACCAAATACACAAAATAATGTTCTTTTTAGCAACATCATATGACCCCTTTAAATGTCACTTTTGTATTGCACACAACTTCTCTGGGCGATTTGAGGTAAACAAACACTCGGTTCGTAATTCTGATTCTTTCTAGTGAATCGATTCGTTCTAAATGATTCTTACTCTCTCATTCAGTTTAGTGAGTCGGTTCGTCTTAAACTTACCAATGTCTTATATGTAGCTTTGGAAAGTTCAATTATTTCTAGTAAATCGGTTCGTTTGGACGGTTCTTGTAAATGAACATATTCCAAAAGGTTTCGCCTAAGGGGCATTTCGATTGTTTTGAAGATTTAGCTAGGGACAACTATAGATAGCTATATTTAGAGTAAATTTATATGTTAAAGTTTGATTATTTCAGCTTAACTGTGATCATTCATTTGTGTGGTTCTTATTTATAAATTATAAAATAATTTGAGTTGCTTCAATGTGCTAAGACTCTTTGTAAGTAGGCATGTAGGCTGGGTTTTCCAGGACTGAATATTTTAGTAGTTAAGAGTCCTAGTCCTGACCATATTACAGTGGACCAGCACTTACCGTGTCTCTTTACTCTGAAATCTATTCTTTCCTCTGCGATCAGCTGCTATAAATCCAGCTCAGATTTACATCCGGCCCCTTCAGCACTCTCTCACTTTTCACTTTGTGTCCTATAAGGTTTATTGTGTTCACTGAGCCATTTCAGACACATAAATCAAGCAGCAACGATGCTATAGACTAAAACTATGACCTCCAGAAATGAAAGGTGCAATAAAAAATTAGCGTTTGAATCCAGGAGACGACCATTTACATCAGAAAGATAATACACATCAAATTTGACACTTGGTGGCATCTTTAATAGAAACAGACAATTGAGGACAAAACCAGACTGATAGGTGAAATCTATCACTGCAACAAAGTGTGTTCAACAGAGGACAGTTTGTGTGATTTTAATGTATGCTACCATTCAAAGGTTTAATGTCAGTAGGATTTTTTAAAAGAAATTAATACTTTTATTCAGCAAAAATGCATTAAATTGATCAAAAGTGACAAGTACAAATCCTGAAAAAATATATATATCACGGTTTTCACAAAAAAATATTAGCGGCACAACCATTTTCAACATTGATAATGATAAATATTTCTTTAGCAGCAAATCAACATATTAGAAGGATTTCTGAAGGATCATATGACACTGACGACTGGAGTAATGATGCTGAAATTTCAGCTTTGCATCACAGAAATACATTTTAAAATATACTGAAGTGGAAAATAGTTATTTTAAATTGCAATAATATTTTACAATATTACTGTTTTTACTGTGTTTTTGATCATATAATAAATAAGAGACTTCTTTCATAAACATTAAAAAATCTTACAGATTTCAAACTTTTGAACGGTAGAGTGACTGACTGAATTTAGCTTTTACATTTAATTATTAAAAAATTTAAATGAGAAATTACTGACCTCAAAACTTTTAAACGGTAGTGTATATAAAATGTTGTGCATTTCATGTTGTATAAAACACTTTTTTGTTTAAAATAAGACCTCTTTAATATGTGAATGATCTCTCCTACACAGTAATAGAACTAATTTTGTTAAAGTCTCCTGCTTCTCACATGTTTCTCCCGAGAAAAACACCCCATAAATCTCACATCTGGCCCCTCCAGAGTTTCAGAAGGAATCTTAACAATGTTTCAAACTGTGTTGAGATTTGCCAAGACATCAAAGCATGCAATCTTTTTTTCTTATCCAATTCTCCCAAGACCAAATTATCTGAGCTTTGCTATATAAGTATGTTGATACTTATATGGAACATAACTGAGAATTCCTGTACTATGAAAGAGAAACCTCTATAATAAAATATTCTTCTGGGAGGTCGCAAACTGACACCTGATCACGTCTCTCACCTGAAGCCGTCTCTATATTGCTCTGGACTTCCATTGTTGTAGGTTGAACAGCCAGAGACAGACATGTCTGATTCATATCCTGTCTCCGTCCAGTCAACTCACTGTGCAAGGCCTGTGTCGAACAACACATTAAAGATGCATAGGTGTGACTTTTAAACTAAATCACAGAGATAAAGCTAGACATTCATTACATCTCATTCCAGACAATTTAGAGGTGGTGAAATTGGAGATATAATTACTCGAAAAGCAGTCAGACAGCAATGCACAAACCCAAACATCAGCTGAGCTGAAAGTGACAAACTGAGAAACAAAATCATTGAACCAGAGGGAAGATGTTTTGCGGTCAATATCAGAAGGAAAACTTTTGATTAATCCTGTATGGTTTTTAACTGATAAAGCAAGATAATACCACCAACAAACCACATGCAATAATGAGCTGCAGACTCTCTAATAATCATATTAAAAAATTAATATGCGGAATAAATTAGGTATTTTACTGTAAAATACTGTTTAATTCAATCACCGCTATATATAAAATTACTTTATAATGTTGTTTACTGCTATTGTTATGAGAGGTCTGTTTGTCAAGACAGACTTATTGCAACAGATATAAATAATGCAATGTTTTAATGCAGTAAATACAATAAACGGCAACGATAAACAGTGCTGTGCATCTAAAGGACATCAATAATTCAGCAGAGCAAAAACAAACAAAATGATATCACAGCTTCTGTTTGAGGAACAGTAATCAAGGGGTTTAATTATTTTGTATTCTATCTTTTTATTAAAGTAGAAAAGTCTATATTATCAAAGGACTGCAAGATGCCGGTTTATGCAAAGGAGGAGGTGCTGGGTACAAAGTGGAAAATTATACGAAAAAAATATGACTACATCACTCAAAATAGACTAAGTGTTTAGCTCTCATACTAGTGAGGTTTAATGATCCTTAAAATCACTGATGCCTTTTCTTAGTTTAACCTGTTAACACGCGCACACACACAGCGTGACTGACCGTACAGTAGCCTTGTTTCTGCAGTGAAGTATGTACATCTTCTCCCACCGGCCTCTGCCTTGTCAGCTCCTCATCTTTCAGCTTTACCCAGAACCAAAGCTCTTCAAGGATGGCTATGAGTCCTGTCCATTTCTCCGCACCGGCCTCGAAACACTCTCTGAAAGAACATGACTGTTTGAAGGAAAGTTCAGGACATTGGAGGTATCCGTTTGTTTATATTGCTGGATATTTTGCACAAACCTTCTCGAGGCTATATGAATGTGGTCCAGATCTCCAAACTTATCAAGCTCTTGTGCCATGGTATTCGGGATCTGACCCCCCAGTGCCCTTTTAGAAAGATCAGTCTGGGTATCAGCATCTGTCTGAATGTCCTGAGGAGAAATAACAGCATGCAGAACTGAAATTGCACCAATTCAAACAAATCTCAATAGACTCTGATTAAGTGATCGTCCCCTTGGTCTGTGTGGCCTATAAATAGGACTAAAATGAAGAGAAAATAAAACTGCCTCTATAACCGTTTAAAGGAATAGTCCACCCAGAATTTTAAATTTCCTGAAAATGTACTCACCCTCAGGCCATGCAAGATATAGATGAGTTTGTTTCTTCATTGGATTTGGGGAGATTTAGCATTACATCACTCGTCAATGGGTCCTCTGCATTGAATGGGTGCCGTCAGAATGAGAGTCCATTTGTTTATTACATTTGTTTTTTAATTTGTTTATTAAACATGCAGCTTTTCATCTCACATGACTGGACTGGAGTGGTGTGGATTACTTATGGATTTTTGTGATGTTTTTATCAGCTGTTTGGACTCATTCTGATGGCACCCATTCACTGCAGAGCATCCATTGGTGAGCAAGTGATGTAATACTACATTTCTCCAAATCTCTTCCGATAAAGAAATAAACTCAGACTTACTCAAACTTAGATGGCCTGAATGTATGTACATTTTCAGCAAATTTTCATTTTGGGGTGAACTATTCCTTTAATGCAGGGTCACAAAATCTGGAAAATGCATGACTAACAATCAGGTTCCAAAACACATTTGTGGTTGACTTACCTACTTACAAAAAGTATAACCTCAAATTGCACACACCTCGCCTGCCTCCAGCAGTCTGCTGTAATTCCTACCCATAAAAATTCAATTTATGGTGACAGTTTCCTTAAAGCCTCCACAGACATAATGACTGGTTGGTTTATATCAGAAAATTGTAGCTCTCTCGTTTAGGGCCACAGTGATGATATACAGCCAAGGAAAGTCATCAAACAGACATAACAGACTGCCTTTGCTTATTATGCTGGAATCCATTAATATGTGTTCTGCTAACAAGTGGAGCTGGGACAGATGAAGGAAAATGACACTTGCCATCATTATTACAGCTAACGATGCTAAAAACATGAAATAGCTTGATCAGATCTATTACAATTTTGTGTGCTCATTGCATGCCTTAATGAGGTTGTAGTACAAATTTACACAAGTATAAAAAATGTATCAGATTGAAAAAATACTCTGCATTTCCAGTGTCAACAAATTAATCTTGTTTTCTGTTTGAAACAAGATTATTTTTCTTACCCCATTGGCAGATTATTTTGCTTGTTTCAAGCAAAAACTCACTTAATTTTGACTTGTTTTTTCTTAAAACAAGACAATAATTTTTACTTGTCTAGAAAATCCTTCTTGATTTAAGAATTTTTAGATATTTTGTCTGGAAACAAGACAAAAGATCTAAGCTAGAAAAGCATTTTTTGCAGTGTGATGGACACTTCGAGCTCCCATGATTCTTTGCGCTGATTCTTTGCATGATGTTTTTATACAATCTATCTGTGCGTTCCAAACGGGATATATATCGCCCTCCGAAGGGCACTTCAAGAAACAGTTGTTTGGTCCCCTACACCCTTCAAAGCTCTCACTCCGGAGGGTAAAACCTTTGAAGGGATTAGGTCAGGGGTAGGCAAGTTCGGTCCTAGAGAGCCGCAGTCCTGCAGAGTTCAGCTCCAACCCTAATCAGACACACCTGAACAAGCTAATCAATGTCTTCAGGATTACTAAGGCTAAAGGCAGGTGAGGTTTTTTTCAGGGTTGGAGCTGAACTCTGAACTCTCTAGGACCGAACTTGCCTACCCCTGGATTAGGGCATAGGGATGAGCCCTTCCGAGTGGAACGCAGGGAAAGACAGCGTGATCCGTGTAGTCCGATTTACAAACAAATGACTCTTATGAGCCATTTAATTTAATCATTCAAACAGTCTGATTCGTTCATTTAATGAATCAACTCCAAGTCCAACGGAGCTACTTAATCAACACTTACTGAACTGGAAGTTCCATGTGAATGAATCATTACTGTAATATAGCCTTCAGCTGCTTTTACTTGCTGTTCAACCAAGAGAGCATTATGCTTGAAAACATGAAAATTTATAACATATCTAGAGCAGTGGTTTTCAATCCTGGTCCTGGGGACCAACCACTCTGCACATTTTGTATGTCTCTCTTATCTGACACACAGCGCAGTTCATGGATCTCTCTCCTAATGAGCTGATGATCTGAATCAGGTGTGTTAAATAAGGGAGACATGCAAAATGGGCAGAGCGGTGGGTCCCCAGGACCAGAATTGAAAACCACTGATCTAGAGCTTTTAAATTATATTAATTCTTGTTAGTGAGATTTAAAGGGGTCATGAACTGGCTTTTTATTATTTTATAATGTTGTCTGCGGTCCACTTATGACGTTTGCATGTTTTTTTACATTCAAAAACATCTAAATCAATAAGTAATAGGCCATTTTCTACCTGGTTTTGATTTCGGTACAACACCGGCTCGAGAAACACTATGGGTGTGCCGCATTGAAGACTTGGAAGTAAACGCCCACTGCTATGATTGGATAACAGTTTTGCATAGTGAACTAACTTTCTGTGTGTCTGTTTGACAAGCTGCATCCTTCATAGTTGGAGCCTTCTGTGACTTTGGTTAGACACGTACACATAATCAGGACATATCAAGCAATCTCTAGTAAAGCAATAGTGATGCATAGTACAAATATTTTTTACTCACATAAGTGTGCTGCGCCATTCCTGTCGTATCTAATCAGAGCCGATCCTCCCTATACGCAAAGTACGCAAGTTGCGTAGGGCCCCCGAAACACCAGGGGGCCCCCTTGCTCTCAAAGATGATTTAATTTTAGTTTAGTTTTTGAATTTGGTCAACGGTTATGAAAACATGAATGTTCATTTCTTTTTATGCGGTGCGCTGTTGCCCTTTCTATGTAAAAATCAGTCAAATCATGTAACGTTAATGTCATACAGACTCTTGCTCGAGACAAAAAAAAACGAGTTGAAAGCGTACCGAGCCGCGGAAGAGACACTGTTTCTCAAGCGCTTTCTGTGAATGCGATTCGAGATGGAGTGAACATGGACAAAGGCGTTTCATTCATTCATAACTCGCCCCCCACCCCCGCAGTTTTGCGTAGGGCCCCCGAAACACCAGGGGGCCCCCTTGCTCTCAAAGATGATTTAATTTTAGTTTAGTTTTTGAATTTGGTCAACGGTTATGAAAACATGAATGTTCATTTCTTTTTATGCGGTGCGCTGTTGCCCTTTCTATGTAAAAATCAGTCAAATCATGTAACGTTAATGTCATACAGACTCTTGCTCGAGACAAAAAAAAACGAGTTGAAAGCGTACCGAGCCGCGGAAGAGACACTGTTTCTCAAGCGCTTTCTGTGAATGCGATTCGAGATGGAGTGAACACGGACAAAGGCGTTTCATTCATTCATAACTCGCCCCCCACCCCGCAGTTTTGCGTAGGGCCCCCAGAAGTCTAGGATCGGCACTGTATCTAATATAGACGGCACAGCATTGCTTTTTAATCTCAGTCTCTCTGCAAATCCAGTGTCGACCTGTGTCTTGTTTACAAAGGAATCCGCGGTGAAATTAAACGAACAAACGCTCAATGTTTTACTCACGTGAGCTGAAATTAAAAATAAAGTACAACCACGCATTCCTAATATTTGAATCTGAAGGAAGGTTATAGCAGTGACTATGTTCTTCCACAACCAGGCACTGCACAATATTCTGCGATATTCAACGGCATGTTTATTGCTTGGTTGCTCGATCCTGTTTAGCTCCACTCATGTTATTTCCCTGCGAGAAATTAAAAATAAAGTACAACCACGCATTCCTAATATTTGAATCTGAAGGAAGGTTATAGCAGTGACTATGTTCTTCCACAACCAGGCACTGCACAATATTCTGCGATATTCAATGGCATGTTTATTGCTTGGTTGCTCGATCCTGTTTAGCTCCACTCATGTTATTTCCCTGCGGATCAGGAGGCGGTGTTTAACCTATCTATTACGTCATAGGTGGGCACATTCCAGGATCTGGTGTTTGCTGGGCCTGGTGTCAATAAAAGCTTTTATTTCAGTAACAAGGACGTTTTCAGCTCTGAAACTTACAGGATATTCTGTAAGATTACCTCTTATATATCAAAAGCTCAAGTAAAAGTTGATTTCTCAATTCATGACCCCTTTAACAGACAAGACAGTTCTAGGAGTTTAAGAACAAACTTATTTATTTTATTTATTTGCTCATCCTTAATCCATTTTATTCCAAATGGAGACCACACTATAAGGCTCAATTAAAATGTTTGTAAAAGCGTACAAAATGCTTTTAGAGACGTGCCTAATAAATATAATAATTCCCTAACTTAGTCTTTCGAAAGAGTTGTGAAACTTGGCGTCTTTGAGATAAGCAATAAAGGTTGCTTTTAGTCAGAGAAATCAGAGACTGGCACACTTGTGGTGATGAAGACATTAAGAAGAAGTTCATAAATGTCAATGCACTAATGTTCTTGCCATCTCATAGATATGGTGCCAGCTGCAGTTTGTGCATAATGCAACATCTCTCTGTGAACAACAGTCTTCTTGAAACTGTAGAAGAAAAGACTCAGAGGAACTTGTGCAAGTCTGACCAGGATGGTCGAGTGGTTAAGGCGTTGGACTTAAGATCCAATGGGCAAATGTACGGTGGCCGAGAAGTGCAAAGCAGATCACAATTCTGAAAACAAAATAACAAATTACAAACGCAAATGCAAGTCTAAAAAACAAAATAACAATTCAGAAAACATTATAACAAGTCAGAAAACACAACGACAAATCCGAAAACAAATTTACAAGTCAGAAAACACAACGCCAAATCAGACAAACCGGAAGAGGTAGGTATAGTTTGAGACAGTGCCATTGGTTTGGGATTACTCACCGCTGACTGGACGAGACATCTGTCAATCAACATATACAGGGAAGAACCAGCCGAAGAACAGCAGAGTCCTGGTAG